GGGGGGGGGGGGGGGGGGGGGGGGGGGGGGGGGGGGGGGGGGGGGGGGGGGGCGTGGAGCGCTGCAGTTTTCAGCGTAATATGACGTGTTGGTGTCGAGGATACCCGCTTGCTCGACTTGAGTGAAAGAGACCCTGCCAAGGTTTTCCATCTTCGATTCCACGTCTTTCGCCTTAGTGATGTCGCCGCTTGGGTCACGAAATCGCTCTTTGCGAAGAGCGCAATTGAGCACCATTCCAACTCACACCCCTCGCCTCTGCACCGCGGATGCGCCCCAAATCATACGACCTCCCCCCTCAATCGTGCAGGAGGCTCACAATGGTAGCACCACATGCTCCACCTTCCCACGCTATCATGGCTGACCTATGTCGCAAGGACCGAAGCACGTCGTGAAGGACTATTTTGACTGCAAGACGATGACATGCCGCAGCAATTGGCCAAGGACACCATCGCTTTTCTTTTTTCTGCGCTACGCTGTATTCACCAAGTGCGTCACCACGCGGGTGTGTATGGCAGAATGCGGGCCTCTGAAACAACATTAAAGATTTCCCCCCAATTTCTGCTTTGGCTATGATCCCCGACTCTAATTTGGTCACATGGTGTGATGTAATGTGACAGAAATCCTGCAACAAAAACTTGGACTGATTTTCTCTTAGCGCACGACCTCAAACGACGTTCACTCTTGGCGGTGACATCGCGGAACCAAACTGAGACAACGCACCAAGTCCTATGGCTCGACTCGTCGAGTTGACGAAATGCCGGCAGCTTGAGTGCAACGCAACGTTAAAAGCAACTCATTTTGAAAGGCCACACAGAAACCAAGACGATTTACAACGCACACGAGGTTAATGATTCTTGTTCTCCACTTCGCGCCACCATAGTCTCCCAGCTCATATAAGTTTCAATGACGAGGTCCGCGACCCTGCCTCCTGCCTCCGCACACATCAGCCCTCACCAATGCCCCGAGCATTTCACCTCGCATCAACGGCAACATGAGCGGAAACTTACAATATCCACGTCCTCGCACGCGCCATGGCGTGGAGGCCAGACGAACTATTTCTTTGCCCATGACATTCTCCACAACTGAAAAAGTTTGGCGAGGTTGGTGGCAAGTGAACCATCAATTTGGCCAAATTCGCGTGCTATTCCGCCGCCCGGTCAACGAAGCAACAAATTTCCTCCCATCAATAACACTCCCCAGCCTGTTCACCAACGCATCCGAGCATCGCATTTTGAACGGAAGTGTACAAGTTCAAACACTACTACCGTGTGGGTGACATGTTGTGGGGGGTGGTCATGTCTGACCCCAACTGCCTGCACTTTGTTGTGTCATCTTGCAGAACAACTGCATTACGGCCAGACACTCCATGACACTTTTGGTCCTTCAAAAAGCTGCGACCAAACGACGGTACGCCCGACGTTAACAGCTTGCGGCGGGGCCCTTGTTCTAACCGCTGCACGTTTGGCGCCCCCCCTGCGTGATTGACGCAGATTGATGGGAACGGTCGTACTTTCGTATGATGTGAGGTGCATCGTGCGGAGGGGAGGCGACGGGTGTGTTGTGCTCTGTTGCTGTTCTCTTGGCAGTGATCGCCATCGAGTGTGAAGCTCGGCATCACTGCGACGAGAGACAGCTATGCTACCCATTTGACCCGCTTGAAACCTTAGACCCTCTCACCCCTTTTTCGTCGCTTGGCAGCGACGTTGTAAAACAAGCCGATCACTTCGTGAGCTCGGCAACCGAGGTTACCGCTTTTTTCTCTATTTTTTTTTGCGGAAACCATGATGGTGGTCGAGTAGATCATGTTGTGCGGGTTCGGGAGCCCTCACTCCGCGCAAAGTGGATGATCTCACCACGTTGTATTAAATCGGTCAAACATCCTCAGGGCAGTTACACAGTGCTTACAACTATCTGAAGTGGAAGCACCAGAAAACAATTAAAGCGATACGCAGCTGTCATCCGTACGCAAGGAAGTAAGCTGGACAGTGCTAACACCAGACCCAGCATCACGAGCAACAGATGGGGAGCTACGACAAGAGGACACGAGACGCCCCACTCGCAAAACAAGCAATTGATTCATGTATGGCCACCTTTCGGTCGACGTACGCTCCAAGCTACCCAGAACAAACGGGAAACGATTGGCGGGGGAGCCGCCAGACAATACTCGGCAATTGCGAGAGCCAAATCAACAGCGGCCGGTCCGTCCTTGTAGTGTCCGATTGCTATTGCCCGGTTCACATCCTGCCGGCGGGAGTAACAGCGTATCAAGGATTGAGTAGGGAACTTGTCATTGCTCTCGGTTGTACTCAAGCACCTACGGAGACCAAGAGAGAACATCCTAGCTACAGGTGCAACAGGAGAGAGGACAAAAATCAGCACGCAACTCGAAAAAAGTGCGAACAAATACACCCACCTAGAAACCAAGCAGCGTGTTCGAGAGCAACGAGGCCGTGTGGTGCAAGAACAACTTCGAGTTAAATAGAGGGACAACCCTTTCGCACACAACGCCACTCCAAGCGACAATCCACACTCAGCTCTCTCCCACGGTGCCATCCTGGCACACCTGATTCTGTGCAATCTCTCCAGCCAACATGTTCACCATCGAAGCAACTCTGTGGCCACCACCTGGCACGAAGAATCAGACGGTTGTTTGTTGCTCCAAGAAAGGACACTGCTCTGACCTCTTCCTGAGGTAGAATTGAAGCCTTCAAAATGTTAGTCATGGGGAAAACAGGAAGAAGATGGCGCTTGTTCAGAGCACACCTATCGACAGGAACACGTGGGACCCCTTCGTCTTTCCAAGTATGCAGGAATAGCAGCCGGAGCTACATGCCCTTGAGAGAGCTCTAGTCCGTGAACAGCACCAAAAAGATGTTGAACGCGCGAGTTTTGCATTCCGAAGTGTCGCTACGCCGAAAATCAATGGATTACACTGCCGATGATGCGCACACGACAACACATTTGGGCGGAAAGTCTACTTGAAACGCCCGCGAGACATCTGAACGGCAAGGCCAGCCACGCACGACGACGTTCGTTCCCTCATAGGCTGTGCGACAACTTACATCATGAGGAGGGCACTGCAGTACCTGGCTCTCGCTCCCGGCAGGCGAAAGCATTCTCGGGGTATCTATCAACAAATGATTAACCGTGACGGTACTACATGTTTCTTGTTCGGCCGACACCGCTCAAACCCCACGTTGATTTCGCACTCATTTACGACTACAGTTGAGGCCCGCACTCAAGAACCCCCTATTTTGAGCGAGGCTCAGTTCTTATTGGCTGCCCCAACCCGAGCACGTGTTCTTATTGGCCATGTTCTTATTTCGCCGTCCCATTTTTCTCCAGCGAAATGTTCTTGATCGTATTTCAACACCAATTGGCCCTGTTGGCGTACGTTGTATGACGACGTACTTTGTTGGCGGCTGTCAACTGCACTCGGCGGAGTGTTTAGTCTATCNGGCCATGTTCTTATTTCGCCGTCCCATTTTTCTCCAGCGAAATGTTCTTGATCGTATTTCAACACCAATTGGCCCTGTTGGCGTACGTTGTATGACGACGTACTTTGTTGGCGGCTGTCAACTGCACTCGGCGGAGTGTTTAGTCTATCGTGTTTAGCATGAGGAACAATGCTGTTGTTTGGTACAAGAACACACCAAGGCATGCAGCAGCAACTGTCAACCATCTTGGTCCACAAGGGTGACGTTGATCCTGCGTACCCTCTCCGATCTACTAACGCTCTCAAGCAAAACCCAGGAGCCTACCGCCGCATCCAGATCTCCGGTGTACTTGGCTAAGGGCAGCTTCATCTTGCGCGTACTCTGGTCTAGCTCCAGCTGCACACAGTAGTCGTACAGGTGGCGAGTGTCTGGCTGAGATTGCTGAATGATCAACCCTCCAAACCACCCCATCCCCAGCCTAAAAACGAGCACTCCACGTCGCAAAAGTAATCTGTCAAGAGCAACGGGTGTAACTTCTTGAATGCGAAAGCCTGTCGGGACCTCCATTCGTTGCGTCTCGTCCTCCGGGTCTTGTGGGTCCATGCTGTCGTCGTCGTCGAGAAGAGCTAGCTCATCGGTCTGGGTTTGAGACGTGCCTGCGAACGGGGCACCGTGAAACACCACAAGAAGTATGGTGCCACGGCGAAACTCAACATGAACTCATCATATTCGCTCGTAGTCGTGAACGCTGAAACAGCACATCAGCAAAATCCAAGCAAATATCAACATGGACATCGTCATCAACAAGGAAATGACAAAGATTGGGTCTAGTGAAAATCAAACTTACCGCCGTCGTCTTCATCATCGCTGGAATCAGCGCCCTCCACGACCGCCTCACGTCCATCGCCCTCCTTCCCCCGCCCCTCAGGCTCATCGCTGCCGATCTCCAAACCTTCTTCGTCCTCGCTACAGTCTTCATCGTTTGCGAAGGTGTACGGCTTGTCCAAACCCTCCAAGGTGATCCGATCATTGCCTGAGCCGTCCACAGTCATGGCCATCCCGCACCTTTCGATAAGGTGGAATCGGAACGCATGTTGGCTGTTGAGTCTTGCCATGGCCGCTCCAATCCACTGAGTGATCAGTACCCGCCGATTAGAAGCTGTCAGCGCCGCGGTTTCCCACCTCCCGAGATTGTCCGACTGCTCGAGCCACATGTCCATCTGCCTCCCAGCTTCCACTTTGATAAATCGTCCGGCTCTTGCATCAACTGGCTGCACCTCGTTCGTGCACTCCGAAGGGCCATACTAGGCGAGAGTGCTGCACTCCTTCGCAAGATACTCCTTGAACTCGTCCGTCGTCTGCGCGAAAAATTTGTCCATGATAAGAATGGACATCGCCTTGGGAAGCTCACCCCGCCCGCGCATCAGGCCCTCGCGGTAGGACCTCTTAGCCCACTCCATACAGGACTTTTGGTCGGCCCAAGCGTTCTCCTGGAAAAACACGTCCACGTCTTGTGGTACGCGGCCTTCTCCACCGGCGAGATCCGCTTCCCCGTGCCTCGGAAAATCACCGAAATTCGCAAGGTCTTCTCACCCGGACCAAAGATGACTTGCATGGTGCACTGCCTTGTCTCTAGGCCAGGAAAGGGCTGTGAGATGGCGACACGCTTCGCACCTCGCTCCTCCCACGTATCTAGCAGCCCGTTTACGAATGCCAAAGGCACTTGATCCACATTCCAACGCTCCCAGAGCTGGAATTGACCAAACTTGGGAACTCTGGACTCCCTCTCTGCGACCGTCGTAATCGCCGATACGTCCGACTCATCGGGCGCCCTGTACCGTACCGGCTCTTGCAGGAGCTTGCGAAATCGTCGGTGGAAGCGCTGGATCGTTGGTAGGCGCTCCTCAACAGACTTGTTCTTGAGGTTGGTCCGACGTCTTTTGGACAGGTTGTGCCTCTTGGCCCTTTTTCGTGCCCACCTGAAGTATGCGCGGAACGCCGCCGCCCTTTGGTCCCCGGGATACATCTCTCGCACGAGCCTCCGGAACGTGATCGTCAGCCACAGGGTCGATACCTTCGACTTCCTCTTACGCCGCTCCACGAACATCTTGTAAAGCCTCTTTTCTGCCTCAGGAAACCACCGCTTAGGCTGCTGCTTGGCGAGGAGGCTCTTCTTTACGTCGTCTGCTGCCTCCGCGACTGTGGCCTTCTCGTCCTTGGCCCAACTCACGATGTTGCTGTAGTGAACCTTGAGACGATCCTCTAAGTACTGAGGAGGCGTGCGCTCCTCCTCCTTCCAGAGGTCCACGGCGTTGCCCTCGAGGATGCGCAGCTGGTTGACAGCATTGGCTTTGAACCTATCGTCGTATCGCCTGTGCTTGGGAGCTCCACGCGGTTCCTTGGTTTCGCGGTCCATAAAGCCGTCGCTTTCCAAGTCTAGATCGAGAAAGCGCTTCCGCTGGATGACCAACGAAGCCGCCCCCGTCGCATCATCGACCTTCACGTGCCAACAACGCCCAGGCCCGGCTTCTTCCCACGGCAGGACACTCCCTTCGAGATTCTTCCGTAGCATCCGCCGCAGCCGCACACCGTTGGACAGGTTTGCACTGCTGTGCTGCGTTCTCACGTGGATCCCAAGGCCTTGCTCGTTCACGAAGGTCATGGGACAGTGAGGGCAGGATCGGCGGGACTCCGGGGCCGGAGGCGGGAAGCTGATACCGGGTACGAACTTTTTCACTCCACCACGAGTCCGCTCAATCTGCTCGGTGCGATGGGAAAGGGCGAAATTGCCGTGTAGGGAATTCAACGAGCCATGTGACGTGTCAGTCGCTCTTAGTTGTGGCGCTGTTGAATTCAAACTGCCGTGGATGCCGCTGGCAAAAGTATCTATGCACTCTGAACGAATACTTCCTTGAAAAGATTATCGTGAATCACACGAGAGAGTGGGGAGGTGACGTCTGTTTCGTTTGGGTCACATTAGACTAATCTACTTTACCTTTTTTTTTCATGTTGTCTCTTGCTTTGACTATCGGGAATTAGTAAAAAAAAACACCTGTGCGCAATACAAAGCAACAGCGTGCGTCGGATACATATGTAACCGAACTCACCGGTTGTCCGCTGCCAATCTAGAACGCGTTGCAGATGTTGCCGCCTAAAGTGCCTTTCGCAGCTCTCTCCCTGGCTTGCTTCCCTCGATCCACCTTCCTCCTCGCGGTACCCGCTGCAGCAGCAGGTGGGTGCTGAGAAGGTGCAGCAGCACATCGTGCGCTGCTGGCATCTTGTTGGGATGACAAGGATAAGCGGGTGCTGCTGGTAATGCCCTGGATTTCACCATCAATCTGCGCGATCCACTCTCCTCCGTCGAAGATACCGTCCTGCTTCAACCCCCACGCGCTCTCGATGGCGTCCCACCGCTCCTTCGCAACGGAGTTTCCCGCCTTCACATACATGTGTTTTTTCGTCTCGAGGTGACAGTCAAGAATCAGGCGCCGTCCTTTCAACTCTGCAAGTTTGCCAAGATCTTTCAACAACCCATGGGATAAGGGACTGGACNCTCGATGGCGTCCCACCGCTCCTTCGCAACGGAGTTTCCCGCCTTCACATACATGTGTTTTTTCGTCTCGAGGTGACAGTCAAGAATCAGGCGCCGTCCTTTCAACTCTGCAAGTTTGCCAAGATCTTTCAACAACCCATGGGATAAGGGACTGGACAGGGACATGATCCCCCTGCACGGCAGGCAACTCGTGGCCCGCTGCACGTGCGTGGCCTGGCAGCCGCCAAGGGGGCGCGACGTGTACAGTGCCCACCCTCTCCTCTGCAAAAATTGCAGATTCGGAGGTGTATGTATGCACCCACCTTCGGCACACCTACCCCCCTGCCAAATCCAATACTTGGATCACCCCCCCGCCCGTCCCTCCCTCCCCGTTCGAATGTTCTTATCTCGCAGCTGCTGAATGTGTTCTTGTTCTTATCTTTAGCAGCAGTGGTACACCTCAGGCGTGCGTTCTTATTCTTAACTGCAGGTGCAATCTGAGCACGTGTGCTTACCGGCAAATTCATAATTTTTGTTTCTTTTTATGTAGCACCATAGACTTTTCTTATGTTTCATATTCGTAAGTGCGGGCCTCAACTGTATTTCCATAAAATGACATTCGTATACAATGTTGTACTGCTACCCATCGGCTGCGCACAAATTACATGAGGTATGCATCCCATTAGAATCAAAAACCAACCGGGCCCAATCGAAAAACAAATCAAGACCATGGAAGCGGTGGTGCAAAGCAATCCAGAATACCGACTCTCTGTCCTGTGTTCGCAGACAGCAATATTTACAAAAAAGCACCGCCACATTTGCTCAGATACCAACAGGATTACCATCATCGATTCGGCACATCTCTCCGCCCTCTCGTACCTCACAGAAAGTCAACCACCAAGCGAAACAAGCCATCAGCCTCCAGTCCGACTAGCCTGCCCACCAAATCCCTCCAGTCGACCATCATCTCATCTTCCGTCTTCTCACCACCCCCACCCGAATCCTCGCCGCTGACCCTCGCCACCTTAGCGGAGCAACTCGTGCTCCTGCTTCTTCCGTTGGCGATCTGCACCCTGGTCGGGGAGGAACGGCTCAGCACCAGCCACCCGCGGCGACGCCATGATCTGTCGGCTGGAGCGCTTTCCAGCGCTCGGCGAATGCGCTGGTTGTCAGCCGCGATTTCTTCGTCGCTGTCGCGGTTCTCTCCCGACGTTCCTATCACGTCTGCAGGGGTTCTCCACCAATGTTGGCGAGCTTCTCATCTGCTCCCCAACGCAGCAGAAGGTCCACACCAGTTACACTCGAACGCATGCAACCTGTGAGCAGTGGAGTCTCGTCGAGTTCCTCACGCACATTGACCTTCGCTCCACCCTCCAACAGGGCGCGGATCGTGCCGATGAGTGCTATCCGACGATATACGGCAAAATGCAGAGGCGTGGCGCAACTGTTGCTGGTGGTCTTCGCGTTGACATCAGCCCCAGCTTCCAAAGTACACGGTGACGGCAATATCGTGGTTGTCACTGACGGATATATTTTCAAAAGGAGTAGCACAGCAGTACAGGGCTGTCCATCCGCCCTCATCGGTGACGTCGACTGCACTGCTGTCTTCATCAAGGAAGGCTTTCACGATGGTCGCGTGACCGCTGTTTGCAGCAATGTCGAGTGGAGAATAGTTGTTGTTGCACGAATGCCGCGGTTGGCACCGGCAGCTGTTGATAGCAGCTTTTCGACACATCCGAGATGGTTGTTTTCTACCGCCATGAACAATGGCGTTCCACATTCAAAATCAGCCATGTCCTTGTCTGCGCCGCCCAGCACAAGCTCAGAGATACACAGAGTATGGCCCTCGGAAGCAGCCAGGAGTAGAGGAGTGTGGCCGAAATGCGTCTTTTCGCACCTACTTCGGCCCCATTCAGAACAAGGATACCTGCAACTCCGTGGTGCCCTCTGCTTTGGCAGCGAGGTGGAGTGGACTGGCATCCTCCCAATCACGTAGACTCGGGTCTGCCCCAGCGATCATGAGCGCCGTGCATAAGGCTTCAGCACCCCGCGCTGCCGAAACGTGGAGGGTTGACTCGTTTGTATTCCCGAAGCGGACGTTAACATCCCTCCTCGCCCCAGCCTCGAGTAAAGCCCGCACCATCGTGTCGCTATTGTTGCCGCATGCAGCCGCACCCAGCAGTGTTCGTCCATGACAACCCCTGCTAGCCTGCTTCACCGTCGGCATCAGTGTCCATTAACCGTGCGAAGAAATCCAGGTTTCCTCTGGCCGCAGCATGCTCCCGAGGTGCTCGAAGCCATTGCTTCCACTGCTCCGGAGTCGCCCCCTCCTTGACGAGTTTGAAGATCTCGATCTCGAAGCCGCACAGGTGGCCAGTGGGCACGGTTGTACGGGGGCGTTGTGTAACCTCCGGCCAACGAGGGGTTATTACATGGGATACCGTGGGGGGTTACAGGCCGACCGGGCATAACGTGCCGGGTTATGAAAGCGGTTATGCGCGGATTGGTGTGAAGGATGAGAGAAGAAAAAAATATGCGTGAGCTTTCCCATCCCTTCCATTGTATTCCACTCTACGGAATTGATTGACGCGTCAAGACTTGAGCGCTGTCCTTTCCGTTTCGGAGCGTACATCGTCTTGGGTTGCTCTCAACTGGATCGTTTTTGGTGTTAGTGTATGGAATTCACCCTCTCTCATGTTGCGATCTTCCGGGTGGGGTGATGCTGCAGGATCTAACTGCAGCGGGGCTGTCCTACCGCCAATGGGGGGCATGTTTACGGGTGCATGCACCAATACGATTGCCCGGAACCCCTATTGTGTTCAAGTCGATTGCCAGGGGCTGCGCAATATGCAATATATTGGTTGCCCATGTGGCCTGACTCGACACGCCATGGTTGCTGCACACCACCATCTACTGCACTCCGCTGCCTCTGCCTGTATGGCTCCCGTGCCTGTGCTTGGTTGGGCGTTGCCGTTCGCTCTGATAGGCCACGGGGTGTGTTTCCAGCTTGTCGCTTCGCCATTTGCCAGGATCGATCACAGAGGTAAAACAGCGGGAACGGCGGCAGGATTGCGATCGAAAACAAGTCGCTTGCGACACGTACGCGAGGCAGCCACAACGGTCAGGCCGGACAGCAGCGAGAGCAGCGGCTATGAGCAGGCGGGGGGAGACAAGCGTGGGGAGGCAGGGGAGGGTGGGATCGAGAAAGGAAAGAGCCCTGTGCTGATGGAATACTTCATCAGGTGGGAGAGCAAGCTTGCTGTGGTGCTTTCTATCGTGAACGGCAGTGTTTCCTTCGAGGCTGAGCTGTCACGTTCAGGCTGCATGTACATGGCGCACGGCGGTAGCCACCTGTACCACCGGGGAACGTTCCAGCAACGATCGTATGGCAGAAGATCTTCGATAGGGTAGGGCTGCGCTTGTTTTGGCATGCGCTTGTCGAAGGCCGATCAGATGCTCTCCCCCCAGAAGGACCGACCGTTCATGTTCTTGCTCGGCCTGGCGATTTTCAACATGATACAGCGGTGGTGGCCCGCACGAATAACCACCTCATCTTTCGCCTGCTGAAACCCCCCGCCTTGAGCACCGGCGCGCTTGCGTTCGCCCCTCTGCCGGTTTACCTCCGCAGACATGGCGTTGAATCGGCAGAGATAGTTCCGGCGGTCGAGTCTGACTACTACACCAGTGGCATCGAGAGAGCAAACGGCCTCGTTTTCGTGAAAACGGTCATCTTTCAGGCAAGAATTTTTCTGGGATCCAGCGATCCAGCTAACACGGGTGCCAATCAACTTCAACCGATTGAGCCCTTGGAGAAGGAGAGGTCTGGACCCTGTGGCGTTCGATGCTTCAGCAAACCTGTATGCAATGTCAATTCATGTTTATGATCTACTGTAGTACATCCAAATCCATGCACTGCGTTGTTGTTTCACGCAATGGTTGTGGTTGCATTGCTCTCTAAGTGCCGTAAGTTTGTAAGTTTGTAAAATTTGTTCCACAGACTACCGTCACGGAAGTAGGTATACAGGTAAATACACTTCGCGTTCTCCTGTGCACACAACAACACAAGGTGGAAGTACACCCGTACACACCAACTACATCTGGTTCGGCTAGTTCATTAGAGCGTGGCAGTCGTGTACGGCAGTACTTCTCCAACTTCCTGTACAAGTATTGTAGACGAAACAAGTGTCTGTTATTCTCCGCACAAGAACCCAAAGTCTGCGATGAGCGCTTGAACAGCAGTACGAGAGGGGGGCACCACGTGCTCCCTGTTTCACGCCCCGCGTGCCCTTTTTTTTTGTTAAATCGTGCCGGGAGATATGTAGACAGCCCAGGAATAACGGGGTATTCTGAAAAAGCAAACAATCCTTACCCCCGCCCCCACGCGTGCGCGCCGCACCTCCCGCTCGGCGACTGACAGGCGGATGGGAAACCGTTCGCCGCGGTGATGCGAGAAGACTTGGTGGCAGACCGAGGCAGCATGGCTCGCCACTTGAGGGTGGCAAGTCGGCAGGTTTGTCTATGGTGCTAAACTATGTGGCGCGTGCTCGAGACCCGACGCCTGTCGCCCAACTGTCGTTTGTTTTTCTTTTTCAACAACTTTTACGAAGTGATGGTACATACAGTCGCTCTTCGCGCTTTGACTCCCTCTCCCGAGATCCCTGAGTTGTGCACTTCACATCTCTCCATGTTCGGCAGTCTCGTATCTGGTATTCCCGTGTTTCTCTCAGCATAATTTCGTTCGCTTTCCTCGCATTTGCCAATTACTTTGTCCCCCCTTTCAGGTTACCCTGGCCAAAGCACCGTACGTGGAAGAGGTGACCGGCTTCCCCGTCGGCACGATTCCCCCCCTGGGGCATAGGACACGCGTGCCGACTCTCGTAGATGCGGAGCTCCTCAAGTACTCCACCATCGTCGGGGGCGCGGGATGCCCGTGAGTAGCCTGGGGGGCAGAGGGGTTCCAGTTGTGGACCCGTCGAACTACCGTAGGTTGCATGACGTAAGATACCACACCCCCCGGAAGGATGTGCAAAGCTTCATTACTTCTCGGCAAAGAGGATACCAAAACCAAATGATACGTTTTCGGAAGCTCTCGACGAAACGAATCCAATGCCACACGTTTCGGCACGGCCACTGGCTGTGCTGCAGAGTAAATGAGAGATAAAATCGATCCTGCGGGTGTGGTATCTTGTGCGCCCTATCGCACTACTACGGCTGTATACACAGTTTGCTTTTCTTGACAATTTTTGTTTGTTCAAGAGTATTGGGAGAGCTCAAGTGCCGGTGGCTGTTGCCTCCAGGGCTCGCCTTCCGTGGCCGTGTGCTCTGCTCGCTTTCGGCTTTTGTCTTGTTTTTTGCGGGAAGCAGCCCTGAGGTGGCGGATTTTTTTCGTGCGCTCAGCACTGCTGTTCACCTGTGTGCGTTGTATGGCTTCGGTCGAGGTCGCGAAATAATCGAGCAGCGGCTCAGTGTCATCATACATGTATCCGGCTCGAAGATTCGCCGCGTTGCCGCACAGACCGCAGTCGTCGACGCCTCATCTGGAAACCCTGTCGCCGTTTGGTGATGCTCTCCCTCTCCGCGCCCACGGCCCCGCTTCCCGCCGGTCCGTCATCCCTGTTTATTCTCCCAGAGGCTTCGACTCGCGGCTATCCGTGGAGGACCTCCTCAAGGCCACCGGGGCCTCCATAATCCCGCTGGCTAGGCCGCGAAGCCTAGGGTTGGCAAGCGCGGCGGGCGGTGGTGGGGGTGGTCCCATCGCGAAGGCGCCAATGCTGAGCTGGTACTCGTCTACGGCAACGATCCCGACGGGCGGGTTCCCGTCCAGCGCCGGCGACACGGGGGGGTACGGCAGCGGAGGTGATGCGAACGGGGGTGCATCTTTCCGTGGCAAAGGGTACCCACGGTATGTTGCCGAGGATGGCTATGACGAGCGAGGGCGCCGGCAGGCTCGAGAGGACGACGTTTTCGAGCCCTCCGCGGCGGCAACGGCGGCGGCTGCAGCCGAGCGCATGGAGGGGGCGGACCTGAACATACACTCTGGGACCGATGTCACGAGGAGGAGCAGTGGCGGCAGCGGTGACGGCGGTGGCTTGCTCGTTGGGGGGGGCGGGGGGGGGAGTGATGCCCCGGGAGCGTCGGCTGGAGCGGGAGCGGCGGTTAATCCGGAGGTTGAGGCCAGACTCCGGGTCATATCGGCAGCGATGCATGCTGTTTTGGCGGCGTTGTCGGCCCTCTCTGCACTTCCGGAAAGCGGTGGCGGCGGTTTACAGGGTAGTGTTACCACTAACAGCCACGGCGGAGGAAACGTTGAGGGGGCGGCGGCTTCCGCGGCCGTGTGTGATGGTAGAACTTCATTGGTCGATGGAGACCCCATGGGTGTAGGCTACCCTCACGTCGACGACTGCGGGGGCCGAGCGCAAAGTCACAACGGTAGCGTGGCCAGTGCTAGCGCCGTCGCCGTGGCTGCCGCCTCGGCACCGCCACCCGGTGCCCGGGATGGTGCCTCCGTCGCGGCCAAGAACGCCGGGCCACAGCACTCGAGAGTGGAGTCGGTGGTGGAAGATGGAGCGCCTCCGCATAACAACAAGGGCGAGGAAGGTATGAGACAGGGAGCACCAGCGTCAGCGGGTACCCCCGCCGGTATATCAGGGGCTGTGTCGGCGCCTGAAGTGGGAGGCGCTGGGGCGGCGGCGGCGGTGTACGGCCGGGAGCTTGCGCGAGCGGCGGGCACCCCAACGGTGGACGCTATCGGCGGCGACGTGCACCTCGTGGCAACCGTAGCCGGGAAGCGGTCTCTCACGCGGCTGCTTCACTTCGTTGACCTGGTGAGAGCGGGGGGGCGGAAAGAACGGGACTTAAAACGTTAAATGCGTAGGAAGGCAGAGGTAGATGCTTGGAATAGAGAGAGTTTCGACACAAGTAGCAGATACGAAACGTTGGCTCTGCGTTGGCTTCCTCGAAAACCTCCTGTAAACAATACCGAGGCGACGCTCGTGATCGTCCTTGTAAAATAACTTGCCTGCGTGACAAGGTCCCTCCTGCAACCGAAGCGACTCCTGTGGCGAATCAGACCTGCCTTGTAAGGAAGGCGTGGATGGTGCCGGGAAATACTCCCGACCGTCCTCCCACCCCAGTAAAGGTCAGTTTTGTGTTGTGTTTTTTCGTGTTCGTCATGGTCGTTTATTGCTTGCCGTATACAGGCGCAAGCGGGTATGGCATAGGTATGCCGGTCTTGCCGTTGCTATCGTTGTTGGTATTGTCGTTGTCACGTCAAGACTCTGTTGGCCCTTTTCGAGACGTTTCCCCCGTCCCGCTTTCATACTGGCCCTAGCGGAAAGAGACAACTTGAGTGATCTCAAGCTTCTCACAAATGTGTACTGCGCGAACAGTTCACCAGCAGATGATCTGGATAGTGTCAACTTCGGCGGTATTCCAGATATTTTATTGCGCCCTTGCCACAAGTTGTGCTAATGGTGCACGCGATGCATGAATGCGCCCGATGGTTGTGCCGACTTTTTGCGATTGGTTGCCTTTCATGTGTGTGCTTCTTGTTTCCTGGCATGGTGGAGGTACACAGAGGGGGGGGGTTCTGGAACATGCTCCAGGCACTGGTATCCTCGAACCCCTTGTCTTGTGGGCCTCGTTGTCTGGTGCTTCTTTGTTTTTTCCCGCCAGGTCCAGCTGATTATGGGCAAGACGCTCGTTGACCGGTTGGGACAGCAGGAGGCGCTCGTGGCCATGCGGGGGGTGAAGAGAGGACAGGTACGTCGCGAGGGGAGCCGGCGAGACTGAGAACCAATAGGTCGCCGGGCTGTCAATGACTACGTACGAGGGAGATTGAATGCTGGAGTCTTTGAGTATAATGGAATTGAGTTGCTTTGTGCCGGGAGGTTGGCTACAAGCGAAAGCTGATTCTTCTGCAGTGTTTGGCCCACTTTCTCTTTCTTTCTCTCTTTCTCTCACTTTCTCCATATCTCTCTGTATCGTTCTCTTTTCTCCCTCTTCACCTCTCCCCCCTTCTCCCTACTCGTGGCTATGAGCCGCCTACATGCGAACACACATTCTACACCAACTCAACGATCATCACACACCTCCGAAACACCCCGCCGACGACAGCAACACAACCACTACCAAAATAACAACCGCCTGCGCCCCCAACGCGATCATCACCCCCCCCCCCCCCCCCCCCCCCCCCCCCCCCCCCCCCCCCCCCCCCCCC